TCTACCGTCTCAATGCGGAGCCCTGGTAGTATACTGACCGCCTTCCATTCCAATTGGTCTGCCCCACGCCAGAGCCCCCTGGACCATTCACCCCACCAGCCCGCCGCGCCGAAGCTTTGGCACTTTGCAACCAAAAACTTTTTGGACCCTTGCCCGAAAATTCTCAGACGTTGGTGCAGCTGCTGCAGTCGAGCCCATCACCATCACAAACTTTATGCTACAAGTCTCAGGTCCACGATCAAATCGCGTCACAACCGGCATAAAACAGAACAGAGACTGATCGCCCTCAATGCCGTCCTCTGCAACCCCCAGACGACCGGGCCGTGCGGCCGAAGATGAGGTTCCGGTATCCTCTCCCGCCAACTCTTCCGGCTCCGAGTCCGAATCCGACTACCTCGACAGTCCCGCCTCGCGCAAGAGACGGAGGACCGACCCCACTGCCGAGCCCGATCTCGAAGATATCGAGAACGATGATGACGATGAGGAGGAAGAGCTCAAGGCTGTCGTGTCTACCATTCAAGCCCCCTCAAGATTCAAGCGCGCCGCCGCCGCCGCTGTCGACCAAGCTCCCCAGACCTCACGCCCAGCAGCGCCGTCGCAAAACACAATCACTGCGCCAACAGACCCCAACACCACCTTCTCCGCCATAAACGTACGGCCATGGCTCGTACAGTCGCTGGCCAACATGGCAATCAAGAGACCGACGGGCATTCAAAAGGGCTGCATACCAGAGATCCTCAAGGGCCGGGACTGCATCGGCGGAAGCAGGACGGGTTCCGGTAAAACGGTCGCCTTCGCCGTGCCCATCCTTCAGAAATGGGCCGAGGATCCCACCGCCATCTTCGGCGTCGTCCTGACCCCCACCCGCGAGCTCGCCCTGCAGATCTTCGAGCAGTTCAAGGCCATCTCCTCCCCGCAGAGCCTCAAAATCGTCCTCGTCACCGGTGGCTCCGACATGCGCTCCCAGGCCATCGCCCTCGCGCAACGTCCCCACGTCGTCATCGCCACGCCGGGCCGTCTGGCCGACCACATCCGCACCTCGGGCGAAGACACCATCTGCGGCCTCCGCCGCGTCAAGTACGTCGTCCTCGACGAGGCCGACCGCCTCCTCGACGGCACCGGCCCAGGCAGCATGATCCCCGACGTAGAAGAGTGCCTCTCCGTCCTCCCGCCCTCCTCGAAGCGCCAAACCTTACTCTTCACCGCCACAATCACCCCGGAAGTCCGCGCCCTCAAAGACATGCCCCTGAAGCCCGGAAAACAACCCGTCTTCGTCTGCGAGGTCGACACCCAGGCCCTCGCCATCCCCGCCACGCTCTCGCAGATGCACCTCCAGGTGCCCGTCACCCACCGCGAGCACTACCTGCACACCTTCCTCCTGACGGACGGCAACGAGGAGAAGTCCGTCATCATCTTCTGCAACCGCACAAAGACGGCGGATTACCTGCACCACCTGCTGCGCATGCTCGACCACCGCGTCACCTCGCTGCACTCGGCCCTCCCGCAGCGCCAGCGCGTCGACAACCTGGGCCGCTTCCGCGCCGCGGCGGCGCGCATCCTCGTCGCGACGGACGTCGCGTCGAGAGGTCTGGATATCCCCGAGGTCGGGCTCGTCGTCAACTACGACATCCCGCGGAACCCGGACGATTATATCCACAGGGTCGGTCGCACGGCGCGTGCGGGGCGGAAGGGCGAGGCGGTGACGTTTGTCGGGCAGAGGGACGTTGAGCTCGTGTTGGCGATTGAGGCGCGTGTGGGTAGGGAGATGGAGGCGTGGAGGGAGGAAGGGGTGAATTTGGAGACGAGGGTCCTCAGGGACGCGCTCAAGATTGTGAGCGAGAAGAAGAGGGAGGCGTTGTTGGAGCTCGAGGAGGGGAGGGAGGTTGGTGGCAAGAGGAAGAGGACGAAGCAGAAGCTCAATGCGTGAGATTGTGTGGGAGGGGAGAAGGAAAAGTCACTTGCTGTTTGAAATGGGAACTTGCATACCGGCGTAGGTTTGATTTGTGTGGGATAGACAAAACAATACCCAATAGACAACAAAGTCTTCGAGAACTTCTGACCACGATGGCCTCTGAGGAATGATGTTTAGTAGTCACCACAGCTTGAACTTGTTCGTCTCAGAAAGCTTGAAATAAACGGTGCCACCCACCAGCTCCAAGGCTCACCGATTCAAAACGACCAGCAAGCAGTATTAAAGGAGAGCAACTGAGCCTCGTCACGTTCTGCTCTCGCTCACTCCCCACGAACCCCAAACCAATTGGTTCGGGAACCATTGTCCAACAACGCTCGATGGTCTTGTTATCCTGCCTTTGGTGATAAAGCTTAGTTGATGTTGAGAACCCCTGCATAGAGAATAATGTCTATTCCGCATCTTTATTCACGCTCCCGTTCGTTCGTATTCGTGTGAGCTATGTGAGAGAGTGTAGGGGGGCAGGATGGACGTGGTTGATATGTCCTATGTTGTCGTTCATGCTCTCTCTTATATTCGTGAGTGTAAAGTAAGGGAGCATAAGGGAAGGAAAGGATGGATGTAAGTGACTTATCCTATATTACCATTTATGCTCCCGTCGTATTCGCGAGAACCAAGTAAAGGAGCGTGAGCAGGAATGAACACAGACTGCTTTGTTACATGTGCGGGTATGTTCACCCCTCTGATCTAGATTTGCTTTGGGAACTTATTGAGGTTACGCAGAGCCAATCCATCCAGAGGGGCTCGGGGTAATGTAAATCACTAAGGTTGAAGACGTCGCAAGCCCTCGCTTAACGTGAGAAAATGCGTGTCGATCCGTAGTCTTCAAACGTGTGAGACATTCTCTCTGGCGATGTTTGACTCACATTTAGACCAAGTCGATGGGAATGATTCGTTCATCACCGTTTATACGAAAGTCCACCGGACTTGTCTTGGAAATCAAGTTTAAGGCTTTGGGACTTGGACACGAAAGTACTCAACTCACATGTGAGAAAGAGGACAGTGGAGCGCATGGAAGCTTTATCAAAGTAGTTTCATATTGAGCAAATCATCTGAAGATTGCTTAGTTTGGATATATTTTATGCACTACGTGCGGAAAAAGTTCACCCTATATAAAACCCTCTCAGTGATTTCCCTTCAATAGTGTACGCTGACATATACGTATTTCTTGAAATTAATATCTCAAGGTTATGTTGAGGTGTTTCTGGTCAAAATCGAAAGGAAAGAAAGAGATGCCCTGATAGGTAAGGTGTTCATATAGATCCCTAACATCGACACAACCAGGCCATCTCCCCCGCTCACTTGCTGCTTTATTGCTGTTGTATAGCTGCTGACGTATTTTGTTCCCATACAAATGATCCAGTTAGACTGGTAAGCTCCATTATTCTCGGAAGTTCTCAGTACAGATTTGAAACCGTAAGATCAGGTCTCTGACTGCTGCTGCTGGTCTTATGTGCCCACTTATGTAGATGGCTCTAAGTCTCTGTACTATTCGGCCCTGGGAGCACGGCTCTAGAATATCGGCTGTTGTAAATGAATGAAGGGGGAGGGACTGCGCTCCGTCTTCATAGGCTTTTCTTACGCATACAGCTGGACTGTAACTTATTATCGTCTTTAACATATTGATTTGAAACGAAATTTCTATGGTCAGGAATTATCTGGACTAAGTTGTCGGTTGTGGGGCGCTCTGAGCCAGAGAATTTGGTGAAGATACAGCTCTACACTCTAAGTCTTCGGAGTCCCACTCGAAACCAACAACCTCACAACGGCGGCGGCCAGTTTCCAACCAACACCACCTTTCAACATCGCCGTAACCTAGCCAGCTGTCCCTCTCGGCCAAGACTACCTTCAGTCCCCCTTGGTGCAGGAGATGTCTGCCACGAGCATCACGATGTACGAGCTAGAAGAAAGACTAAATGGGTACGGTAGGATTTGGTTCGTACCTGCCGAGGCGTACAGTTTCTAGTTTCCTGATGGAGCAGGGGATCGGCCAGGGGTTCCTCACTCTGTGCTCACGAATACGAACGGGCACAGAAATGACGATGCCGTGATGGATGATGCGAGCATGATGATCTTACATTCTGGACGGTCTCTATTGTAGGAGGGTCCTCAAGACCAACTATACTTTGTCACTAAAGGCAAGATAACAAGGCTATTGAGCATCATTGGATAATGGTCTCTATCTCAGCTGATCTGGCGTGAAGCATGAGAATGAACGCGGAGCAGAGGCCCGATCGTTCTTGCTTTTATCATCGTCATCTTGAGGGGGCAAGCAGCCGTTTGGTATCTCGGAAACACACCAATTTTCCGATTCCCATATCTCATGAAAATGGCCTTTGACGAAATGACCTGTTACCGTTGCACATTACCAAGCCTTTTGGATCTAAAGCTATCCCAGGTTCGGTGATGCCTTTGTGATCACGGATTCTATTGCTTGCCACAAAGCATCAGCAATCACTTAAAATGCATGATCAATGAGGTCTTCATATCACAAACACAGCAGCTGCTTTGATAATGGCCATATATGGTACAGTCTAGCTGACATCGTTATGAGAGGCAAATGATGATTTTGCTGGCTACTTGACCGCCGTTTCAAGGAGGCATACACCACTGCCGGTAAACCGAGGATCATATCTCACTTCCACACCTATCATCTCCTAGCGATAACCGACGCTTCACCGGCTCTGCAATAGACATCCCGGACCTACCTTCACAATGGCCATCGGCCGAGATGCACAGGCACGGGCTTGGGGATGAGACGTTACACACAAAAGCATAAAAGCAGTAGTGTTCCCGACAACCAGGAACCACTGAACCAGAACACGAGACAAAAGTCGGCTAGCCTCGTGTACCAAAATAAGCAACGGGTATACCGCAGGAAGAGAGATGGAGAGACCGGGGATCCAGGCTGCTGTTCGGGTGCTCGACCACTCAGGAAGCCTGCTCGGCAAAGAAGAGGAATGCTTGCGATACTGCGGTTTGTTTATTTTCTTTCTTTCCCCCCTTTTTGAAGTTCATTTCCGCGCTTTCGATGTACCTATGCATGCCTTGTTTGTCATTTTACTTCTCTCAGACATTTAACCGCGGCCCCGGAGCCAAATTAAGTGCAAAGACATGGGGCGCTCTGAAGCAAGACGTCTCATATATCTAGAAGAAGAAAATATGACTCTGTACGTGGTCCTGATCCAGGTTCGCGGAGCAGCCCCGAACCAAATCCAAATCCACATTCCCCAAACCCATACCCCCGACAGCTGAGGCTCAGCTGAAAGCTCAGCCGAGCCAAAGGTCGAAATCTATCCGGCGGCGCCGCGAGCGACGTCTCGAGATAGACATCTCTTCTGTACACCACCTCAGGACATGATCTGAGACCCGTGGGCTTGGTCAAGAATCCTTTCTTTAGATGGCAGACACGCAGACAAGTTTGAGGCTCAACAGCTTCCATCCCTGGCGTCAAATATGGATCCCCCGTCCGTCCCGTGCCCCCCCCCCCCCCGGCGATCTCGAAACCGATGAAGAACAGCACCCATTCCGCAGCGACGTCCGACAGCGGGAAGGCTCCCCGGCGTTGAAACGCAGTTCAGACGAGTAAAAAAAGACCGGGCGGGGTGGGTTCGGGAACGCTTCATGAACCACAGCAGTTTAGGAACAAAAATGTTCGTCACATCATCCGTCTCTGAACTAAAATCAGAGCCGCATGGACTTGGACTGGGGCCTGGAGTCACGGCAGTTTCATCGGCGCCGGGCTTGGTGAGAGAGAGAGCATATCACCGGCCCACCGTTCTGAATGTTCACAAGCTCGCAGCAAAACCTCATTGCCGAGAAAAGACCACGGTCCTGCATTGAATCCCGTCCGGCGTCCGCTCTTTTCTCTCATCAGTCATCCATTCCCGTCCCATGGATGGAAGTTTACGTCCACACCCCCCCTTTGCTCAGATCCACATGCTTAGCAATTCTCATGGGTCTCCACGTGGGCGTGTGGCTGAAGCGATTTTCCAGCAAGCAGAGAATCTAGACCGCGAGCCCCACACGATTGGGCGAAAATCGCGAACCAACTGGCAACGAGAAGAATCACTTGCAGCATGTTCGAGATGGGAACAGAAAAAAAGGGCAGAAAAAAAGGGCAGAAAAAAAGGGCAGAAAAAAAGGGCAGAAAAAAAAAGGGTAGAAAATTTCCCCCTAGTCAATATCCACCGTGACCAACAGATCCACAATCAGTCACCAATGTAAGCTACTGACGCCTGCCCGATGGAAAGCGGTCCAGGTCTAGTTGACGTCAAGAATACGTGGAAAACGCCTGTGAAGAGGGAAAGAGGGCAAGAAAATTTTCTCCATCCTAGCCTCTTGGATACCTGAAGTCCACTTGGTGTGAGGTTTTCTGTGATTGATCCACTAGTTCGATCCCGCGTAACCCAGATCCCAGCGAACGAAAGAATGAAAAACTTCGTCGCGTGGCTCTGGTTGGACGCCGTGGAGATGTGTGTGCCTGAAGGCTCCGACAATTGACAGCCATGAGCCCTGTCGCACATCAGCTCTGGCAGCCCACAACCTCTCACACGATGGCACCGTGGTCCGTCAGGCTGAATGACAGGAGCAATGGAACACCGAGACGGCAAGCGAGGCTCCGCAAATGTGAAAATCAGGAGCGCAGGACCGCAGAACCCCTGTCTTCCACGCTAGAAGCACGCTAGAAGGTTATATGATTCCGCGCACGGTCCATATGCAGTGGGACTCCGCCAAATGGAAGGACGCTAGAAGGCCGGGAGAAGGCCGCGATGTGACAGGGGTGTTGCGTTTGAAGAGTTTGAGAGGCTCTAACCCCCTTCTTCTGGACATATCTCGTTCTTATTTCCGTGGAGGTGCAGTTCCTCCGCAAGGGGCATTCGAAAGGGCGCCCTATTTCTGGATTGTCGTGCATATAGATATTAACCAGTGAGTCAGCACCAGTATCGAACTTCCATTGTCGATTAACCCCGACAGACGTACGAATAATCCAATGCAAGTCCGTACCCTGAGAAGATAATCCCGAAATGTCGGATCGAGTTGAACCCCCAGCCATGAACGACGACATCGTGCAGCAATGCCGCATAGGAAGTCTGTAAACTGCAGGGCGTCTTCGGTGCAAACCGAGAACAAAGACAAGAAAACTCTCGCAAGCCACACCCCCGTACGGTACCCGGGGCCTTGTCCCAACTGGAAACCCCCATCACGGCGACATTCCGGCCGCACATCGCCGAACGATTTTGTCCACGTCCACGGGTATTCAAATCTGCACCGGGGCAGGCCGCGGAGGCTTGGGAGGCTCGTTAGCGCCGCCGCAGTTCGAAGCACGTCCAGCAGCCGTATAGGCAAAAGACTGCAGAGCCACAAAGCCTCGTCCGCGTCGCGTGGCACACACGCAGAAGCGGGAGCGTAGAACATGCATCGGTGGTACATACATACATGCCAAAGAGTCATCCGGTATGTGCGTCCCTTTGACCAATGGCACGATATGGCTGCGGTGGCACAAGCCACGAGCGGTGAGCATAACAGCCTTGTGAGATGCAATGCGGTAGAGTACCTTGGGTAAGGTAAGCAAGCACCGCCTCACGCCTCATAGGACATCTCCGTGCGCAACTTGGGGATTATGAAAGTACTATCCGCCGTGTTCCCTGATTGGTGACTTGACGGCTCGCGGCGCCAGTTATTGGACACATTTGGACGGAGGATGCATGTCAGCGGGTGCGGAATGGGTGTTGAGTGCTGCACAGCAAAAATCGACGCAGACACCCCGGCCGCATTCCGCGAGCGAGTCCGAGCTTTTTGCATACCCTCGCTCTTCTTACGGGTATGGAGTACGATGTGTGGTACATAGGTACGGATTCTCTTCCGCATCGCACCCAGCCCTATCTGGTAGGTAATCCAACCCTGCAGCTAGGGAATCGGCGAGTTGGCTGCTACGTTCCATTGCGTACGGCGGCGACGATGATGCGCTGCGCTGTGCTGTGCTGTGTTGTATTCTGCAAGAGGCTTACCAATGGAGATGCAGTGCAAATTGGCGATATCCAAATGCGATGAATTGCTGCTGCTGCTGCTGTAGGCAAAGTAAGCTGGCCTCAGATTCCCCCGAATCTCCATCAGCCTGTTCAAAAGACTTCCATCCATTTGTCACATTGTGGATTATCTCATCCGAGGCCTATCCGAACCAAGTCCTCCCCGCTTGCAGGGCTGCAGTTCTCAGTTCTCGCTTCTTCGGCGATTCCACGACGCTGACATATGAACGGAGCGGACTTGTGAGTATTGGGGGCAGTCTGATGATTTGTATGGAGTATACGCACAAAAGACCCCTGATCTCGTCATCCCGCGGTGTGGGAATAAGAGGATGGGAGTGTGTAGGTGATTATGAAGCAGGAGAGAGAGAGCATAGACCACTTGGCCATTACCGCGGAGTTGGGATTGGGAATCATGGGACCACAGAGTGAAAGAAGCTTTTAGCTCTGCTCGGCATTTTTCAGTCCAATCTCAACGACGCGAGAGCGCGCGAGTGAAGCGTGGGTTTGGGTGTGGGCGTGTGCTGGATCCCGTTCACGGGTTTCATTGATTACTGATGACTCTTTTGCCTGTTTTACTCCGTAGAGCCCCGGTTGCACATTCTCTCTGTCTCTCACGTGTGAAAGAGTGTTGGTTTGGCGGGGTCCAGCGTGCTCCTCCCCTCGCCGATCTAGGTGGCCGTCCGTCCGGCCGTCGGGGCCACGGCAACAAGTGAACCGTGCGGGTAGTTCGGAAGGGCTCAAAAGTATGAAACTCAAGGGTCTAGAAGAGGTCCAGAACAGAAAACAGTCACGCTTCATCAGACGGCCGCTTTCCAAACATGCCGAACTCCCCTCCCTCATCTCACTCTGTCTTTCTCCCGTTATCCTCCGCATTAAATCCGGATTCATCGTCAAAGCACCCCTTCCGCTCACTTATCTTCGGACGGCACGGGACCGTTTTTTCTGGGAACCCCCCCCCCCCCCACGTCTTTATTATTTCCCCCGTTCCCAACGGAGGGAGTCGGGAGGATTAAAGGTAGGAGAGATTGAATACCGGTAGACACCGGAATAGAACAGTCAATGCTTTTCGTCCCGTCTGCGAAAAGCATTAGGAATCGCTACGGGTTACGGTACGGCCCACGCGTGTTTACGAAGGATTTCGTTACACAAGGCCGTGTAGCCGTAGACGCCCGTATTCCGCCGTACTCGTCCCAATCCGGGATTTTGTGCAGATCGTGGGGTTTGGTACGGTAGCCTGTAGGTCAGGTACTCCGTACCACGGAGTAAGCTTGGAAGCTTTCCGCCAGGCACAGCCGGCCCCCAAATCCCGCAACACTGGGATTGGAAGCCGGAAGAATGTCGAGAAGTCGACGATCACGCGCGCGCGCAAAAGGGAAATTTTCGGGCGAGCTGTCTTGATCCCACCCCCCCCTCCGCTTGCTGGGTAACTTGTGAGAGCTCCTCGCGAAGTTTGGCCCGGGCTTCATGTACGCGTGTGTAACCCTAGAACCGATGGTCCCATCTCACGCGAGACTGAGGGTAGCTACGTAGGGCAGGCCCAATCGAGGGGTTGTGTCTCTGTCAAACGGCCTCGCGATTGGATGAACCAATCTCACGGGTTGGAACTTGAACGGCGAAAGCGAAAGAGAAGAAGTCTGTGGTGGTGGTGGTGGTGGGAAAAGGTTACGGGGCACGCATGCAGCAAGCCACGCTCTCGATGATGCCGTGGGTTCTGATCTGACCTGGACAGACCACATCCTCGTCTCCCCCGCGTCCACGTATTGGCGTATAGGCGCAGACTGGTTGCAGACAGGTAGTCGTATGTAGGCAGACTGAATGGCAGACTTGGGACGGAGCCACTGGCAGGACGGAGTAGAGTACCTAGAGTCGATGGGTCATCTCGACTCAAAGCGGAGCGGAGCACGGCGATTTCAACCGACCGACCGCTATGGGTACCCGGGAACGAGAGAGAGAGAGAGGAGGGGTGTGTAAGCATTGCGTTTTGTGGCTTGAAGACCGCCAAACCCTGCCATTCGCGTCGTGCCCCCAGGACATTCAGATCTGCCCGGATGACTGATGAGTCGATGACCAAAGATGAGCCATAACACCTGATTCGCACCGTCAACCTGTGGCTGTTCGCTGTCAAAGTGTGAGCGTAATCTTTTAGAGTTGTCTGCCCCCTTCAGTTTGACATTCGCTCCGTGCCCCGATTCACGGTGCCGAAACGTCTCCGACGCTTCCCCCCCCCCCCCCCCCAATCTTTCTCGGGCGCGTCTAATGCCCAGAAGGCGGCCCTTTGTCTTTTCTGTATGGGCAAAGTCGGAGGGAAGCTTCGGCGGAGTGGGTTTCTCCCTATGGTTTCATCACTTGACACCTTTCAGAGATGTCCCCCGGGCGGTGCGGGCTTCGTGATTCCCGGGTCATCATCGTCATCGTCACCGTCCTTGCTTTTTCCCTCCCTCATTTTTGCTGGGCCATGGTCCCCGTGGAAACAGGAACAAAGTCGGCGACGCGCAAATACTTGTTCCTGATACTTGACTGATATTTCCATTCTGTAGATCGAAACAGATCAATTCGAGCCCGATGAGCAAAATTGATCAAGCGTTTTGGACTCTATTGGGCAATTTGGGTATCTAGACAAAAAAAAGTTTCAAGCCCGGCCGATCAGGCTTTTCGTCCAAAGTCTGCTGCGGTGGCCCCCGTTCGAATGAACCCCGTCGCCCGGGGCAATAGTTCTTCACGATGGTCCGGGCTGTGGAGTTGGAGCACCGTACCTTGCTTTCAGGCTCCGACTCATGGGCCTTTCCGGGTCCTGTGGCTGGGCTGCCCGCGTCTCCCCAAGACGTGGACTCCAGGCACCGACCGCAAGGTACTTTGTGTAAGGTACGGACAGAAATGTTTAAGCAAGAGTTATGCCGAGAGCGAAGGGCGTTATGCCTAACCCGGCCGAGTAAGAGGAAAGTAAGTGTAAGGATACCGTAATGTAATACGTGTAACAGGAAGGGCGATGAGACTCCTGCTACGTTGCTCTCTCTCTCTCCCTCTCTCGCGCGTCAAGGCTCAGCCCTACAAAACGAGTGTGTGGCTCGGGGCCATTCGTAAATCCGTACGGATCTACTCCGTGTATCCGTACAGGTGGGATTCGTACTTTCGTACTCTCTCTGCGTAGCGCCTCAGCTCGCAAGGGCCTGTGATTGGCGCGTGTCCGCGAAGGCAGTCAGCTGGCCAGCATCTAATCTCTCCGCAGATGTCTATCCCCCGTCGTCTGCCCCCCGGTTCGCAAGCTCGCACTGCTCGCACTCGCAGGAGGACGTGGACGGAGCCGACGGCGGAGGAGGCGGTGCAGCAGCAGCAGCAGCGACCAGGGGATTCGTACCAAGCTGTGCTGTGCTGCGCTGTGCTTTACCCCCGTGCGCATTCGCACAATTCGCGGCCGTACTGTATTCCCTTGTCTCGGCGCCGTAAACTGTAAGGCCTGGCGATCGACCGGGGTGAGGGTGAGGTGTTGAGGTAGCAACGGCTCTCGGCGCAGTACTTTTAGGCTTCCCATCTTTGTCCATTCTCGCACCCCAGGTGATCCGTTACGGGGAGTACAGAATGCCGGGGGTACGGAGTACTGTGAACTGTCATTATCCCAAAGGGGGTGAACGGGAGCGACATCAGATCAGGACCCCCTTCAGCCTTGGCCCTGGGGTATTACATTTGGCAATTGTGACAATCAAGGGGAATTGGAAATTCTTGGGATGGCACCTTGGGACGGGGTTAAGCAAAACATACCCCCGTCGTGAGTGAGCTGGAATCCCGCTATTGACATTATGAGGCCCGTTCCCTTTTTTTTCTATTCTCGCTTGCTGGCCTCAGCTTGTCGCAGATTGCGCGCATGGTGCGAGTTACAGAGTATAGGAAATGAGCCATCATCCCTTTTTTCTGATAGAGTGTGTAATTATGGTTGTAAGGTAGGCAGCCGGGGTTATGGTGATTGGTAAGGCGTGCGTGCGACTGCGGCCGAGAGCCAAGGCCAGCAAGCGAACCATAAGCATAACCTGCGTGTGTGTTCACGATGATACGGCGTGTCAGATTGGAAATTGAGGCAGACGAGACGGAGCTAGCTAGCGATGAAGAGATGACGCGCCTGACGGACAGGGTGAAAGGGCGTAGACGCCGGGGCAGCGGTGGGTGGTAGAGTAAGGTTGGTGATTAATCCAACTGCTGGTCGGTGCGGAGTTATGGGAGTTATGCCTAATTCCTGTCTCCGTTTTGGTGATGATGAATACAAAGTCACTACGGAGTATGGTAAGAACGAGGAGAGGGGATGAGATGAGACGAGACTAGCGGGAGTGCGTGCTTTGCTGGAGAAGTCTAGTGGCCGATTCTGATGGAAGACGTGGATTGATTGATTACAGAGAAAAGCGAGCACAGGCTGACAAACGTGGACGCTTATCCCATCAGGACGCGAGGTACCTAGCGACCTGACGAATAAGCAGCGATGCTCCGTACCCAAGCTGCAATAAGGTAGGTAGCAAGGTACGGAGTACGGGCAGAAGGTTACGGATCTTCGGGGTACGTACTCAGTCCGCGATGAGTCGTCGTGTTGTTTCCGCCGAGTGCGTCAGACCCTCGAGAACCTCGCAGCGAGTCTACGCAGTAGGCAGGACTTTGGTTCTTCTGGGCGCCCTTTGGTAGCGTGGTAAGGTCGACCACGACTAGGTACGACGACGACGACAACCGGATTAGCGTCTTGGGTTTGCTAGCGACGGGCAACCGTACACTTACGCCGTACCGACCGGCGGCAGCGTAGGTAAGCTCCAAAAGTCCGAACACCACCCGCAGCCCGCAGCGACAAATGCCCAGCTGGCGGAGGCTCGGGAAGCACCCTCGGCCTTGCTGATGACAAACGCCGCCCAAAGTCCACGATGGAGGAACGGCTACCGTGGTGCGGAGCTTAGAGAAGCCCCCACTTTCTGCAGGCACAGCGAAAGACTCATCGCTTTCATAATTTTTTCTGCTTAGGAAGGTTCGCACTTCGCACCTCGCAATCGCGCAAAACTCCCGCCCACACCCCACCCCACCCTCTCACACCCCCGATGGGTCATCCACCCCCTGCACCTGCACACCCTTCGCTCTCACACCCCTCCCCTTGTCACCGCTCCTCCCTCACTTTTCTTCTCTCCGAGCCCGACAAGTCCAGGTCAGCCAGCACAGCGGAGCAACCTGAGTTAAAAGAAATGTGTTTCCCCTTCCCAACCAGATCTAGAGAAATCCCATCATCCAGCCTCAGCTTCAACAGACACAAGACACAAGATCGATACTAACTCCTCTCAAGAAGAAACATCTTCCAACTTGACCTATTATATAACCATCATCGACCTTGCCTCTTTGCCATCTCATCTCGCCGCCTCATCTGGTATACTCCAAAATAACCAGATTACCAAAGCATCATCACAGACCAAGCCAACTAGCCCAGGCATCCCTGCCCCACTGCATCTTGCACCCCCCGATCTCGCTTTGAGTCATACCAGCCAAAATCGCGACATATCAGTCACCATTGGTGCACAGTCATACAAAATGTCGACAACTACCACAACTTCCACCTTCACTGCTCCTCACACACAACAACCTCTCCGCCTTGCCGTCCAGAAGAAGAAGATGAGCATCACCCAGACGTACTACCTCGCCCACAAGGCCCGGGCCAAGCTCTCCTCCGAGGCTGCCCGCGCCGACCACGACCTCCGCCTCCTCGTCGGCCACGCAAACCTCCTCGACTCCCTGATGCTTGAGCTCGCCGACGCCGAGCGGGAACAAGAGAGCTGGTTCAACCAGTCCGTCCGTGGTGCCACCAAGACCGAGTCCGCTCCCGCTGCCACCAAGGACCGTCACATCCAATGGGCCGACTCCATCGCCGAGGACTCGGAGGACCTCTACGAGGATGACTCCTCCGACTCGGACGACTCTTCCGTCTCCTCTGACGACGACTACGAGGAGGACGACATCGAGATGGCCGACACCGTCTCCCTTCGCCGCATGCCCTCCGCCGCTCCCGCTTCCCCGAGAACATCCACTATCGAGGTCTCGGAAGACTACGACATGGAGGAGGACGACCTCGAGGAGGACTACGCACAGCTCGAGCTCGTCCGCACACCATCCCACTCCAGCTCCAGCTCACCACCAGAGCTCGAGCACGAGCACGACTCTGACATCTCAGATGACGAGTCGATGCCCCCGTCACCGCCAAACGCAGTGCTCACCTTCAACGAGAAGGAGGCCAAGGAAGAGATCTCTCAACAACAATCACAACAGGGCGACGGTACCTTCTACTCGGAAGGCTACTACCTGCCGGCCCGCAACCCAGCAAGGCTCGTGTCTGCCATCTCAGTGTACTAAGTCTACACTCGAGTATCACGCACTACCTTGTAACATGATCTCTTCTTTGGCTTTTCACATCAGCGAGCGTTTGCATATATTACGGCGTTTATCATTTGTCACCGATACCAAACTACAACGGCATGGGTCACGAATTATTTGGATTACAAAACGACAGCAATGTCTTCTCAACTCTTCTCTCTCATCTTATTTTTCCTATATGCGCAATGAGAAAGCATGGGGTGCCTATTTGGAGGACCCTGATGGATAATGGAATCGGGACTTTTTTTTCTTTTCTTCAGCTGTCTTTCCGCTCCCGGGCTCCAGTCCGCGGTTGAGTGGTACCAGCACAATGTGTTACAGAAACCAGATAGATAGCCGCTTAGGGGGTCAAACAGTGCCCTATTCAAAAGCGAAGCATCAAACAATCAATTGAAAAATCAATCAAATCAAACCCCCTGTCCTCTGCAATACTGTGAATAACTGGCTTGAGGACTTGGAGCAACACAACAAAAAAGGTAAGTCACGATTGCATCATCATTGCTTCTTCATTCGCCTCATCTCGGGGCGAAAAGTAGGAGTGTTGGATGAAACTTGCGCGCTGACCGAGTCATTTAGGCAGACCACATGATTCAGCAAAGACCTGCCCGCTACAATGCGCCGCTGCGCGTTACGACGACTCCAAACCGCGCACCTCACAAAAATCGGCTTTTTTTTTGGGCCTATGCCTATGCCTATGCCTACGGAGTACTTGCATAGGTACGCCTGCCATCTTCGCCCAGGTACCCGAAGAGGATTGGTGGATGCGCCCTGCGATCTCGGCAGATCGGCGTCGCTCAACCTCCGGTCTTTCCAACAGCTGCTCAGGTGCCCGCCCGCCAACCCCTCGCTCGCTCACTCGCTTACCTCACCCTTCGAAGCCGAGCTGCCTGCCTTGCGCAGCTGCGCTTGGTGCTGCCTGCCAGCCTGCCACGAACGAACGGGGGTTACAAAGCAAATTCCACGACGACGACCGATTTCCGCGCCCCGACATTTTAACGACACGCCCCCCTGCCTTCCGTCTAGTCATCTCTCAGGACAGTCACCGTCTCACAGATTACCGTGGTTCACTAACGCCGCCGTATCGTGGACGAATCACGAGGGGTTTCCTCATGGCATTCGGGTTTTGGCGGTGTGTTTTAACCCCCCTACCGCCGTACAGTCCCTTTTTTTGACCGCAAAGAGACGGAATTAATAATTAGGCTGCCTGGAGGTTAAGCCCGTGGTTTAATGGTGCAGGTGAAGAGCAAACAGCGAAAAAGCCGACGCCAGCGATTCGAATTATTCATCACATTCCCCCCCCCGCCGTCGCACCCGAAGCGACTTGCACAAAAGAATGTCACCGAGGATATTACGGATAGTCGCCGACGAGTCAAATGTCACGATGCTTCATTTTCCATCCGAGTTTTACGGATGAACGCCGCTGGTGAACGATGAACGGCGACGATGATCTGATTTGGACTGGTCTGATGGATATTCAATTGGAACCGAAGAGAAAAAACGATTGCGAGGCAAGCATGGCGCAGCTGGAACTTTGGGAAAATTCAAGAGGCAGAAAAAAATGGAAGACGACGCCAAAAAAAAAAAAAAAAAAACGATTACGACGATACGAAGCCGACATCAGCCACGAGCCTGCGAAAAAAAAGGCGTGTACGGTGTGGCATCCCGCGTACACAATTACGGTATGCTGGGGGGAGGGGGTGTGCAACGCGGCCGCGACAGCGAATGCGAGTCACCGAGGCCAAAAAAAAAAAAAGGAAGACTGTCATCAGCACAGGGCGTGAGCGTGCGGACGGACGAATCCCGTCCGACTGGAGACGGCGAACCCAAAGGAGATAAGCCCCAGGGCCCCCCCCCCCCAGAGGAACCGACGGAGAAGACAACCTCCCGCAATTGCCCTGCCAGAAATCCGCTGGACGGGCGACAGAACTGTTCCCTCGGGGCCCGAACGTGGAGATACGTGGTGCGCATAGGGGCCCGAGCGCGTCCCTTTTTCGAGGCCGAGGCCACCGTCATCCCGCGCTGACATAAGGCATAGCGAGCAGCACCGAAAGACCCGACGGGAGATCTGAGCTGCTAGATTTTATTAAGATTGGCAGATCAAAAGGCAAGATGGAAATGGCACCACAATTGGGCTTGGCTTGTGAAAGTCTTTGATGAGGGTCGCCCGGGGGGTCCTTGACCACCGTACTGTTACGGCTTCGTCGGCGACTGGCCTGTTTGCTGGGCATTGCCTATGCTCTTTCCGCGATGCAGACACGCTAACTATCCTCCAGAACCAAATGTTCGAATCTCACACGGTAATGTGAAGGAAACAAAAAGGACCGGCAACTGGAAGCGACGAGACCACGAAGAGGGGTGTGTGTCTTTTGCCTGCCGCCGTTTGAACTGATTCATCCGGTCTATCCATCCGGTCTTCAGACATACGCCGGCAACCACCATCAGGCCTCCAGCGTCCGACTTCGCTGGCACGCGGGTCGGCAGGTTCACGATTGAGCCGACACGGCCGGCGATAAGGAAGAAGGTGTGACTCGTGAGAGACACGCTCGCCGACGGGACGGTTTGACGGTAGTGTTGGTGGCGGTGGTGCACACTGCCGATCCAGTTTTTTTCCCCGCCCGCCCGTCGGAAGCCTTGGCCGAACCGGCAGCGTCGGCGGGAGTCAGGTAGGTAGCTAACGGCAGGCACATCGGCATGCAGTCAGTCACTACGCGTGCAGTCGAATTCATCTTTTTTGATCGCCAGTCTCGGCTACGGGGAGCCTGATCCGGAAGTGCGTGGGAGCAAAGTGAGGTACGGATAGGTACGGACAACGTAGAACTCGAGTGTGACGAGACAGCGGGACGCTTGTTCTGTTTCACTTGCGTTGTTCTTCCCGATCGAGGGGACGTTTTGAATCCCGCGGGTTAGGTTGGGTTTCGTGAGGGGGTGGTACGGATATCGCGACAAACGACGCCAGCGGATATGCACCTGTGAGTTGGATTGCAGATTTTACAGGACTATCTAGATTGTAGGTGCCCCGACTCGAGTCAATACCAAAAGTCTCGGCAAGATTCCGTGTTTTCTCGGTGTATGGAGTGGAATGGATGGAAAAATAATCGAATTGCACCATATGAAAGTAGCGTACCGGCCTAGATGTCTAGGTCTGACAAACACCCACCCGTCCGTCGCACTTGGCGGCGGTGCGGGAGGCCCACGATGGTGTATTTACTTGACCGCCTCCCGTTCGGGTACGAAGTATATGCTGTCCCTTTATCGATCCCGGGGGGAGGGGATACTTTACCTAGTCTACCCTACCTGCGGGTGAGAGAGAGGGAGGGCCTCAACACGACAGCCAGCATGGGAAAGCGAACAAAACTTACAAACCCAAGCACAACCAAAATGAGGCAGGGCGGTGAAGCCTTGAAAGGTCGGGTTTGGTTCCTGGGGAATGGATTTTGGGGCGGCGACGGGCCCTGGACAGGTTTACAAGCATTATGGGAAATTGGCCCAACCTCTTTTGCTGGGCTCTCGAGGTTCGTGACTGGATGGACTGGGGGTTTTACCTCTTTTCTTATTTCTTGGAGAGCAAGGCGAGGAAGTGCCGAAGCGGTGTCTGAGTGCCTGGACAAAGTGCGTGCAGTGTTGGGACGAGTTGTCAATTTTTGACACCTAATCTCATCAACCCCAGCTGGGAATGAGACAAAGACACGCTGGCGAGCAGGGCTTCATTCGACGAGGATTGATATCAATCACTGGGGCCTGAAAGTCCTGCGGGCGTGGGGTTTTTTCCGGTTCAGGGCGCGAGGAGGGGGGCCAGACTCAGAATGAAGGGCTGCAATCTGGAGTCCTGGGCCCCATCTGCCTTGCTTGTCCTGCTTGCGTCTCCCCCCCCGTCGATCATTTGAGGCTGTAGGCGAGGGTGGAGAGCAGGGAAGGGAGTTTACCCTCGACAAAGTGTCAATTGTGCACAATGGCATATCCGTAGATCGAGTGTCCTTCTGTCTCGCCTCGCGCACGCAATCGCGTCTGTCTACTCCGCAGTGTACGGATAGATCGCGTGATGACGACCTGTGATTGTCGATTTCAATCACGTCGATACTCTGGAGCATGAGGGGTGCGGCCCGCACGTGGGGAATGCTGAGGTCACGATGGCGAATTTTGAGAAGGGCGATCTGATCTTCCATGCTTAGGTTGGGAATCACCTGGTCTTATCGATAAGGTAGATCAGATAAGAGGAAGATTGGATTGTGTGTGTGCGGACGGAAGGTACTACGGCCACGGCGTCCGAAGGCTGGGGCAAGATCTTCACGCGCGCATGTAATCAATTCATTCCTACGGATACTCCATGTATCCGCAAACTCCACGGCTCTTGGTCGCGGACTTGCGGGTTGTGCCTTTTTCTAGGGTTCATGATCTGCTTGATAAGGGGGATCTGAGGTAGTGACAATTTGGATCCGCTGAATTACGCTGTGCAGTGGGAACGTAGGAAAATCCAAGGTCCAGAATTTCCAAGATCAACTCGTTCTGTGGATAATGGAAAAAGGTCTCGACTCTCTTCGCAAGAGTACGCAGTAAAGATTGCCAGTGAGTGCTCGCTTGAAAGTTGGACGACTGGACGAGGTGTTCGCCCGCATCTGTGCCCGCACCGCGAGGATCCATCGTTCTCTAACATACCGCCGCTCCACGACATATCCCACCCCCGTCTCCGCCGGGGTGCGGTGGATGGGATTGTTTCGGGCGGGCGGCGGTGCGGAAGGGGGAAGGGGAGTGCAGCGAGCCCAGAGCCTGTGACTGCGAGCCCTTCGGCACGGCGGGGCATCTTTACGCAGAATGGTGGAGTTCTTCTTCCCTCAAGGCAAGGGAGCGAATAGTTGCGGATAATCATCGCAGGGGTAAGAATCAGAAGTTTTGTGCAAAAGTGATCGTGAGTATTCGATCGTGACTATTGACTGATGAGTCGTCGATGGTCTTCGATGAAGAGGTGGGAAATTCCAATGTGGTCGAGGGAAGCGAGGCTGTCACCCGCACCCCACTCGGAATAAATTTTTTTTTGAGTCACTCACCGTGGCCGGCCCTGAAATTTCGCGATGGTGGCCTTGTATTGGATTCGTGCTGCCTGCGCCGCCGCATCTTTCTTCTCCCTCCGCTTGCCTATCCCCACCGCCGCTCTGCCAGTGCCAGGTGCAGATGGGTGATTGCTTGGCATTGGAGTTAATCTCACTTTGTAATCCGTAAGTCCAGAACCTGGCGGGGGTCCATCTCTCTCCCCTTGGACGGCTGGAGCCCGGGGGCCGAGAAGTATGGGTCTTTCCTACCTTATCCGCTTTGTGCATAAAGGGGTGTGGTTTTAGCATGTAGAAAATGGGCCTCAAATTGTGCAAAGCCGTGGGGGCTGATATCGTAAGCCGAAGCCGAATTATTCATCAGTCATCCAGGTACACTTTGTCCGAGCGTCCGATGACTGGTTCGAGCAAAAAAGGACTGTTGGCTTGGAAATCAGAGACAGAATTTGACGTGCATACACCCACCCCCCCCCCCTCCCTGCCTTTCGAAACGTGAGGAAATGCAAGCAGCGGGCCGCACCTGTCTGTTGCGAAGATCCGCAGAACGTGCTGGATTTGTGTTTGTTGGTCGCGGCCGAGTTCACAGGCGGATTTGTCAGTTCGTGCGAGACCCGGGCTGCCAAGCACCATTTGTCCGTTGTTGACAGATAGACTGTACAGAATCGCTTGAGCCCAACAAAGTCTACGATCTGAGAAGGCCGCGAGAGCTTCATCGGTCGTGTCCCCGGAAATATGTATCTTCAAACGGGGGAGATGTCGCATTCTGAAGCAAAACAGTAGTGCGTGGCTCGCTGCGCCATGCTCCAGGTGCCCACTTCACCCGAGGAGGCTCATGAGATCCATCCCACTTCCGCCCTCGGCACCGAAGGACGGCCGTCTCCACAACCGTCAAGGCCGTCCGGATCACGAGACAAATTGCCTTTCGGCTGTCCAGACCAGCGGTTCACGCAATGAGCACACACTCTCTCTCTCTCCGTTGGGAGGAAACAAGAGTTGGCCCGTGAACCCGGGTTCCTGACATTGGGCTCGCGTCTGCATGTCTCTCTCGGAAACGAAACGGTCTGCCGTGTAAAAGTCAAGTGCGTATCCGTACACCAGTCATCTGATGAGTTCCAGAGTCAAGGTTGGTCGTCTCAAGCAGAGACTGGTGTGTCCGATGAGACGAGATGGTGGATGGATGGGTGGTACCGGGACGCGATTACAGATACCGCCTGACTGGACGAACGTGACCGTGCCTTTTGACGACCTGACTTGCATCCCATGATGGCGTAGCTCACACTCTACCTATGGCTGTAAACCTCACCATCTTACCACCTCTATCCAGATACAGCGTATCCGTACTCTGCATTCATACTCCGAACATCTCAAAGACCACTACAGGTTCGTGCAGTAAAGGCGTGCGCCGCCTTGTCGCACTCGCTCTTAACCCCGCGTGGGGTGCGCAATAGACAAAGCGTGGGCTCGTAGAGGGGAACTCTCGGCGCGGAGCGGAGTTCGCAGACCTGTGCAACCCCGACGACCGCACAGAAGAGACAAACCTACGTAGTACACTCAGAGGGTGATCCGCCAGACAAGCTCCATCCCAAGGCCATCGGTTTTCCGCCCTACCATCCGCTTACCTCAGCTCACCCTAGCTTCGTTCTAATTACCTGGTAGGCTTGGGTTTGAGGCAGAGAAAGCAGAAGCGCTACGGATACCGTAAAGTGTAAAACCCGCGGGTTTGAGAGCGGCACAAGGAACCCGGCTCTTCGGGGAGAAGCCAAAGTCCGGGACACCCCATGGACCCATATTTTAGACGTTCACCACCAAGATGAGCGCCCCTTCCCGCGGGTCCCGTTTTTTAGACCCCTAAAAGTGATGAAGTCATTAGAGCTTTGGAGGCGTTGATCCTCTTACTTGGGTTTGACGAGAGATGATTCCCACGGGGGGTGGTTCGGACGGCGGGCTAGATTCGTTCCACGTTTTGAGACGCGGTTGTCCGGCATCAAAGGTGGTTGTTTTCCCATCCCTTTCGGCGCCGAGGCGGGAGTGATGCTGTCATGATTTGCGGTGGTGAGGCGAAAGGGTGATCGGCGAGGTGGTGTGTACCAGTTTGGTGCGTGGTGTATCCCTGCGGGGAGGACGTTGGGATCGGGACCACGGATCGCCGAGTTGCTTCCTCGATGAACGGCGAAGAGACTTGACGTAACTTCTTTCGCCCGATGAGCTTTAGGATCCAAGGCTCCGGGACCCGTCTCGACAGGGTCGTCAGGGTCCTTTTCGAGAAGGGGTTCCGTCATCCCGTTTACTCGGCCGAGTGGTCTTTGGCCGAGACTATGTTTCGCTGGTGAGAGATCGTCAAGCCTGTCGTGGCAGTTGATGGTGTTCAACTACAGCTTCAGCCACCGGCACCAGCCTCGCTCCTTCTCACCTCTATGTCTTTGTGAGCCTTCTAGCTCCTCCCACCCGCGGGTGAACCATTCACCTTCGCTAAACCTTACTTATACCCCCTCGGCGTCGTTTCCTATCACCAGCTCAGGGGCGCCCGTTTACGGTTGGCGGGTCAGATCAAAACTGCGTGCGAGGTAGTGAAATGGTGGAATAACCTGATACTCCAACGAAATCAGAGTACGGGTTAACTGAGGTTCGCCCTGTTCGATTCCGGGCAGGGGCCCGAATTGTGAGGTCAGCATTGCCTCTCCTTCCTTGCTTTTCCTTTTTGAAATTGAATCATCTGTCATCAGGGCGGTGATTTGTCTCCCATGTATCCCCTTAGTCCTTACCACCAGCCAGGCCAAAGACTTCATTAGGAGTAGATAACTTGGGTCCGGTTGTACGACAATTGGTTCTTATAGCCTACTTGTCTGCGAGCATGAAACCGGCGGAGAAGAGAGCCTCAACTATCGCACTTCCTAAAACGGAGCCTATATGCCGTTGTAAAGTCTAGTATATTCAACATATCCTTTCCCTTATATCCCCTTCCCTGAATAGTTACTAGTTTCTATTTGAAGATGAGCATTTTGCCCTGAATCAAAGTCGTACCCTCATTCAAGTCCAAAGTAGTAGTCACGTTGGATACGAGAGGTTGATTAAGATGCGTACCACCGTTGGCAACCTCCACATCGGTCCCAACCCGATCCGCCACCGTGTTAGTAAAGCAGAAGCTATACGCCTTCATACACACGGATCGGAACCTGCTGTATCCGAGGGCCCAAGGTTCTAGTTGACACATCGTGATGCTCGTTACGGACTTCTCCTGCATCGAAGGGGGGCCTGAGGTGGCCCACTCCAAGGCGCACAGCTGGCTAGGATACGGGGGCGCTGAAGAGCAGTGATGGCTAGACTTGGCCGCCGCTGTTGTGACTTTGTCAGTTGTGGTCAGGAATTTATCGAGAATAGTTGGTATGGGTGTAGTGTTAGCCTATCGGGCCCCGACCTTGGAGGTCTGGCCGTTCCTGTAGGTTGCGTCGGTCCGTGTGAGCTCATCATTCAGCAGTATATTGCTCCAGTCATAGACTAGGAACATCCCGACAGCCCAGTCCGACAAATACGCGCGAGCTATGGTGTCTGTCTCACAGCACCCTGTAGCTGGCATTTCCCCGACGCCACGTCTCCCTATGTGGGAACTCAACTTACACGTTACGCCCAGCTGGACGAAGAGAGAAAAAAGCCATGCTGAATTCTTCTCGGCTGGAGGCGGTGTCTCGAAAACTTCCCCATGTCAACACTACCAATGGTCGAGTCACGAATAGTATGCTCGACCGATCTCTGTGTGAATCTCATAGGCACGTCATCATCTCGTTGGTCATGACTACCACGAGTGAAGAAGGCTACAATCACAACTTCTGTAAATCGGTCATGCGATGGCAGATCACACAATGCCAACTGCCGAATGAAACGAAAGTTACTCGGCAAACGAATAGACCTGTCACCTAGGTTTCCCCATAACCTGCAGAGTGATATAGTTGTAGTGTGTTTTGTCGATTGAGCTAGCGCCTAAGACCTTCTGACTACTTTTCCCCTAACCACCCCCTTCCTCTCAGATACATGCGGGCCTCCATGGAATGGACGAGTTAATGATCCTTGCATAAATGGGCGAACCCAAATGTTATCCAGCGTGCATGAGACCTTAAGTCTGACAAGTCTACCATTTAACTACCAGTCACCCTGACAATGGTAGGGTCGCTGGAGAAGTACGAGACGTAGTGCAAGGTGTCGGGTCTGGCCCAGAAGACATTGACTTCATAGTAATCGCCAGTCTTATCGTAGAAGTAAAAGTCGTACGTCTCAGTGCAGGAGAAGGAGAACTCATTGTAGTCGATCCCACTGGTTTGCAAGTTGTATCGGGTGATGCTGGTGATCTGGGTTTCTTGGGCCGTAGGTGTCTTGAAAGTGGAGAAGCCTTGTGGAGGCGGTCCCCCGGTCCAGTTGACCGTGATATCGAAGGGTTGCTTGCTACTCTCAGCTAAAACATTGTCGGCGGGACCATTCACTTCGGCAGACGTGATGGGCGTTCCTTTGGGGACCCCGACCTTGAAGGTTCGGCCATTGGCGCTCTTGACGTCTGTCCAGGTTATCTCGTCACTCAGAGGCACCTTGCTCCAATCGGGCTCAGGCTGGCTGTTCTTGCTCATGGTGACAAGTCTGGTGATGAGGATGTGGATAGAGAATAATTGAACCGAAAATTCGGGAAGCGTTGTCACAGAAGATCTGGATGATAATGTAGTGTCAGGTCAAATGTCAACGAACTCTGGCTCTTCATAACGGTGAGAGGTGCGTCTGCCACCTTTTTAAATACTTGGAAGCTAACATCCTTGTTATAGCGTGCGGCCCGTCCCTAGACCATTAGTGACTTGATTCCAACGCGGAGTACTAGCGGAATGTTTTGTCTCGAAGCACGAGGACTCTCGGTTCCCTTGGGTCGCCAATCCCTAAGCGTAAATTCACTTACACCATTCAACCACGCGATGTTGACTGGTCGTAAATGTGATAAGTGACCAAAAGTCAACAGTGATCTGCTTTTGAGTTCATGTGGCTTACAAGCACATTCTTTCCCCTTTTCAGCAGATTTCGCCATGTGAAAAGCATGGGCGATCTTCAGGTAAGCATACGCATCCGTACTTTTTACTTATAGCTGAAGGCTTAGTGCGCAGAGCTGAACTTCTCACATACCCTCTGGCTCAGAGTGATCCGCGTCAGGCATCATTTACGATGGCTGGTCAATTTCTGCAAGGTCGCATGGTTCGACATGACCCAAGACCCTAGACATTGATTTCGAAATGATAGGTAAAGGCCATAGCGATTTACGGTTCAGCTGGTGTTGGTCACCCCCAACGCCGGGGAGGCGTTAGGTCACGAGTTCCTGAAAGACGTTTCCGGCCATATTCGTTGCCCAGACTCCATTGACTCCAGCGTAAATGACTATACTGATCCATTCTTCACGTCCACAACATCTCAACACAGCCAGGAAATTCTGTTTGCAACAGGAGGGAGGCCACAAATCATGATGCTATTCTCCTGGGACTCGCCTTTGTGACCTCGTTCTCCCACAGCGCATCTCAAAACCTAACTGGGATTGCGGTACACATCGTATCGCTCCACAACGATAGGTACAAAGGCGCAACGTCGACTGGCAAGAGAGCGCTGCCCGAAGATAACGCTTCTTCACAACCCTAATGTCAACTCCTCCAGGCGAGAAGGAAAATGTAGTTTAACCATTGCCTGACTTGTCACACGTTGCTCCAGTGGCAGCACGGCACATCATATGCCCAGAGAACGCTCTGATTAGTTGTGGTTTAGTTACATAGGTAGCTAGACCCTTGTTCCTGATGATACAAAATGCTACCACTTACACAGAAGACGACGTTGCAACGTAGAAAATTGTTCTGCCCATATGTATGCTAGCCCCTGTACTCGAAGGGGTTACGTCTCTCTCATTATATCTAGTGCTATATGGCCGCTGGTTTCCGTTATTGGTTGAGCTTGAGAGCGAGAGCGCAGGGTTGGGGCAAGTACGAATAGCGCGATTTTCTACGGTCGATGCTTCCGACCCCTTGCGGCCTAGAAATTCAAAATAGACATACAGATGCGGGAAGAACGCAGCATTTAGGTAGCTACGCCGCAAAGCTATCTGAGCGTCCTAAGCGTGTCCCAAGCGGGCTGATTTCCCCTCCCTTCTCTTCTCCTGCCTAGCTAGACGTGAGGAGTGATGGTTGTCCTATTCAAGGTTTCATGGGCCAGGGGCAAGCTATACGAATTCCAGAAAGCGCAAGTCTCATCATGTGCCTTCTCTCAGGCAGGGTATTATCGACGGTGTATACTTTACAGTCTATATCTTCCTAACAACATTACTTCGGCCTTGAACTTTTCCACATCTCATCATGAATTATATCTCTTCCAGTCAAGTGGGTGGCTAGTCCTCTCCTCAAATGGTACGCAAAATTCCCAGTCAGCCATCCCTCAGGGCCTAGCCAACCTCACTTCCGCGCCTCCGTCCCGTCCAGCTCCGCCGCGTAATAGTGCCGCGGCTCCCCCGCATCCATCTCGGGAGGCTGCATCATCTTGGGCGGCACGTCGCTGCCCGAAAACGGCGAGTGGTCTCTGTACTCCCCCTGGAGCTCCGACGGCGCCGTCGTCATGGACGGGGCGGGGCCGGGCGAGTAGGCCGTCTGCTGGTGCTGCTGCATTCCGGCATTGTGGTTGTTGTTGTTGTTGTTATCATAGTAGGCGGCCGAGCCCGGGGCTTCGACGGCGTTGGGACCGGTTTCTTCTGTCGGGACCTTCTTGTGCTTCCGCCGCCTCATGAGGAAGAATGCGGCTAGGCCGATGAGAGCGACGCCCGCTACGCCGCCTACCACGCCGCCGGCGATGGCGCCCGTGTTGGAGGATTTCGAGTCGGAGCTGGAGCCGTCGGAGCCGGAGCCGGAACCTGAACCTGAGCTCGAACCTGATCCGGATTTGCCGTAGTTGATGAGCGCTTCGACGCCCGAGCCGTACTGGACGCTGGCGAGGTTACTGCAACAAAAAGTCAGCGGGACTACACTCTAGATGATTTGTTGTCCAAAGGGATAATGGGACCAAAACTCACCCCTCATTGTACCAAGCCTTGACGACGTCGGGGGAATCGTACGCGGCGGCCGTGGGCTCGTACGCGTCCTTCCACGCCAGCGCCGTGAGGTCGAAGACGCCGACGCCCTGGCGGAAGGAATCTTCCTCGTTGAAGAAGAGGGTCGAGTTGGCGTTGTTGGCCATCCTGTTGACGCCGCCGAACGTGATCATCTGGCGCTGGCCGGCGACGACGCACGATTGCGTGTCGCGCGGGGCCGCGGAGGTGTAGTTTGCCTTTTGCCAGACGAAGCCGGGGAGCGAGAGGATGTAGACCTCGTCGAAAGTTTCCTTGTTGGCGATGTTGCTGCCGCCGTACATGAAGCTGGTCATCGGTTAGCATCTTTTCAAAGACTGAGGTTTTTCTGGCAGATATCAAGAAGAGCCTACATCTCGTATGTGCTGTTGGGGCCCTGAACTCCGACAGTGCAGTGCCACATGCGCGGCCCGGGTGCGTTACCGCTCGTCTGCTGGGTATACCACGTCTTGGTGACGGGGTCCATGAAGTAAATCGTGCTGAAGCTGAGATAGCCGACGTTATCCACGCTCTGGCCGGTCCCGATGACGTGCGATCCTCCGCCGAAAATCATAATCAGACCGTTCGGCCCATACGGCGCGTAGTGCGCCGTGGCGCCGACAAGAGTGCCGTAGTCGGAGTAGGGCACGCTGTCCGAGTTGTTCGTCCACGCCGTGTCCGTCGCCGTGTAGTTGAACTGCAAAAAGCCCGGCACGGGGCCGTTGGGGTTCGGGTCGGACCCGGAATCGGAGAACCCTCCAAAGTAGAAGCCGGAATCCTTGGTGCTGACAAAGGCGCCGCCCTGAGAGCGGGTGAGGGCCGTGAAGGCGGTGTTGCCGTGCGGGAGGACGGTGCCCCATTGGCCGCCGCCGCTGCCGTCCGGGGTGAAGTGCCAGAGTTTCGCGTCTGGGATTTTGGCGCCGTAGGAGGTGAAGCCGCCCCAGATGTAAAAGGAGTCTGACGAGTTGTCGGTGAAGATGGCCTGTCTCATCATTTTGGGAGCCGACTTGGAGGTTTCCTTGATTTCCACGTCCTCTGGCGTCCATGATTTGGTGAGGTCGATTGAGAGCGTCGTGTTTGTCGGGTTGGAGGGCCGCCATTGTGACTGGGGACTCAACCCGCTGATGACCTGTGATACTTCACCTCCATCGTAATAGACCCAATTGCCAATGACCGACGCTGGTGTTCGTTAGTGATGCCCTGTGTCTTGAGAGAGCACATAAGGCCGAAGCTTACCTCGAGCAAAGACTCTTCTGCGAAAGTTGTTGACTGAGGGGACATCCACTTGCGCGCTACAGATAGAAGAAAGCTGTCCAACGGCGAGGAACGCCGCCAGCCATGATCGGGATACCATGATGGGTATGGTCGAAGAATTCGCTGTGAAATGCGAACGTCGCGATGATCCTCGGTGTTGTCCCGCGATCGACTCGCCGCTTCTCAACCTGGTCGATGCGCGCAGACTACGGCGTGTAATGAAGGTCGCCGCCCCTAGGAGTGAGTACCCGTACCACAAACGAGAGAAAATCCTTCAGACGCGAGATCAACTCATCCCCCAAGTGACGATCACAGACGAAAATCGAGAGAGAGAAAGATGGTTAGAGACGAAAGTGTGGCGCGAGCGGGAAGCAGCGCGAGAAGAACATGTCTCGATGCTTTTCTGCAAGACAAGGGAGGGTAGCATTGGGACCAGACACCTGATATCCGTAGGATTCGGGCGGGGATCCGCTCGAGGTGACGGGATTGATCATTGCCCTTCCATACCCCTGATCCTCCAGTCAATCTCGACTCTTTTGAGTGGTGAACGGTGAACCCCAGGGGCCCGGCCCCCCTACAAGTTGCTGATCCATCATCCCCGTACACCGATTTATGGGGGTTTCAACTGGTAGTCTGGTATTCGGCACGGGAAAAATTAGCTGATTTGGTGCGAATAGGTGCGACACTGGCAGTCTGTCGCACTCGTCCTTGGCACCCACACTGCCACGGGGCGGCGTCGAGCATTAGTGCTTACTTGGGACCGCTGGCAACATGGCTGTCATTGGCGGGTGCCTGCTGGGGTTGGTTATTCCAGGGAAATTTGGGAGTCCACCAGGGTCACAATCCCACTTCCGATTGCCTCTGTGCCTTCAGCCTTGCCAGGAGGAATGCACGCCTCTCCCGCTGTGTGCTGCGCCCATGGCTCACTGCCGCGAAGGTGCTGCTCGACATTGTTGGATATTTGCGTCTTGGATATCGGGTGGCCGGCAGTCGTGATTCTGAGACATAGAGAGGGAAGACAATGTTCCAGGTCGTATGGCGGTAGGCGAGAGAGACATAGACGTAGAATCGTTGTCCACCAGGCCAATTAGCTGATCAAGTTTGGTAAAGCCACGATGGTTTCCATGTGCCTCAACACTGATAAAATAAATCCAACTCAGGCACCAATGTATCTGTATTGACTATTGCCGAGCGAGGACGGATATAAACGTTGTAATCGCTGACTTAATCTAAGCGCGCTGTGTCGAATCGTATTCCACA